AGGCTGCTATATGAAACCACCAATATCACACCCATATTACAACATTTAAACGAACTGACAGGCAAATTCAAGAAGAACCAGAAAAACAAAGATAAAATGAAAACTTTATGTTTATAAATTAAACGACGGCCTAGACATCAGCACCCTCAAAACACCATTTGGGAACAACTAACGTTTTTTTTTATTTATTAACATGGAATCGTATACATTTTTGAAATGCTCTTTTTTCTTTTCTTCTTTTTGAATATAAAATCATATGTATATATATTTCTCTTGGAATTTAATTTGTTTTATGAAAAATGTTACAGGGCCTAAAACAATTAATGTAAACCACAGACTGAAGGACCTCGGTCAATGGCCTTTTGTACTTTCTTTAAGTTCCAAAAAAGCACTTTTTTTATTATTATGTATATCAAAAAAATACTATTTTAAATCTCCAAATCAAAAGAAACATACGTACATATAATTAAATTATTAAATAAAATTTCAAGTAAAAACATATATTTCTGTCTATGGGCGGTTAATCAAAGAGTTAGTTTAGCTAACTTCCGATAAGCAACCCATTCCCTATACCATTTTTTTTGAGTTATTCAAACAGAGGCCCAACTTTTTTCTGCATTTGCAGTATTCCTTTATTATTATTATTATTAATATTTAATTATTCATGGGCCTTACCAACTTTCAGTACAAAGTTACAAATAAAAACAAAAAACAAAACATCAAATAGACTCAATCTAAATAATATCCGAGAATAACGATCAAGGAGAAGCGACAGCTTGGTGTTTTTAGTGTACCGTTTTGTAACGCGCATGTGCGAAAATAAGTTGTATATCACTCAAAATGATGTTATCTGTCAAAGTCAGTCCAAGTTGTGTTTAGTACGTGAGCAATGTTAAGTGATATTTTTTGGTGTTTGTTTTGTGTAGTAATAAGATGAAGATTTTTACACACTTAGGTATTCTAATACAGATATAAAATGTGCCAAAAAAGTTATTAGGAAACTAAGAATTTTATCACATGCATAAATATTAAGTATAATGATTTAATCATTTTGACATTTTATTTTTCATATGTCGGTATTGTATTTTGTGAAATATATGTTTTCTTCTTTGAAATAAATTTAATAAACAATGAACTAGAGATTTTGTTTATTTTATTTTGAAATTATATTTAAAAAAATATAATAAATCCGCGTGTTTCAATTAGGATTGGTCAAAATGGGCCAAATTCCTTTATTATGGCTAACTTGTAAGGTACAATTATGTCAATATAAAGATGTTTTGCCCATTCATATGTACATTTATTGAATGAATCATACTGGAGTTGATTTTGGAAATATTGGTACATACTTAAATAAGTACTATTTCAAAAAATTCGTCTATGCCCAGACAGCACATATGTATAGTCCAATGTACGTCCACTTTAGATCTATTTGAGGGTCAGGACGTCCATATCCGGGCATCCAGTGTACGTCCGTTTATGCTAATTAAATTGACAGCTGAATATTGATACCCAGAGAACGACTGTTTTTGGACTTAATTTTAAGTTTAGTAGTATTTTGACGTCCAGTGGACGTCCATCTTAGGTCATTATTTATTAAGCCTACCAGATAATACTCATCTATAATATATACTTCTTTTTTTAATATAACTGGTCATTAAAAATTGACAAATTGATTTTATTGCATTTCATTCTATCAGCGGAAGTTTGAAATCTTATTCAATTATAACTGTATCTAGTAAATAGTTTTCAAGTGGTTCCTTGGTAGAGCTCGTCTAGCGATTGAAAGGGTAAAACGATAATGGATGTGTCGTGAGTTCGATGCCTGCTCAGGTCAAGCGATTTTTAATACAAAAAAAAATGGTGTATAGCAGTTTGCGAAAATAATAAACAAATTATTAATAATATAAAATAGTGTGTTGTAAATTGCGGTTCTGTAAAAAAAAATGGGGATGTGGTCTCAATGGAAATATAATCCTGGACGTTTTTTGAATGTTCAGTATTCGACGTCCAAATATATTCCAAAATTGAACGTCCTCTGAATGGTCAAAAGTGTGCCATTTGTATACTTCACTGGACGCCTATTGGATGTCGGAAGTCCAGAAAAAACTCATTCTTGGACGTCTAGACATCCAAAATTGTATATCGAATGGACGTCCAATGGACATATTTGTATTGTCTGGGTGATAGCCAGGCCAGGTATTTAACTCTAAATACATAAACCTTAAATGACATCTGGCTTAACTTGGCGAGAAAACACTTGTTTATACAGAAATGAGTGATAAACTTGAAAGTCCTTTTAATATAATATAAATCCAGAAATTCTAAAAATATGTAAGTACTTTTTAAATCTAAAAGTTTTTGAAAATATAAGCACATTGCAAATATTTAGTTAAATATCTCAAACTCAATGTCTTTTTAATTGTTACCTAATTTTTTCTTGGCACCCTTAATTTTATTTACCTTATTTTTACTTATAGAAAAAGGTAATTTAATTTAAATATGGGGCTTTTATTACATTTTTAACAATAAATAAACCAAATATTGAACAAATTTTATAGATAAATTATAAAATCATAAACGTCTTTTACTTTTATAATAAATAATTAATTATTACATAATGAATTATATTTTGGTGCCGAAATTTCACCATTGCTATTAACCCTAACCACTTCAATGTAATTAAATCACATTACAACATTTACGCATGGACTATAACAATGATTTCAGATAATTTGCCAAACTATTTCGCTCAGTGTAGAAAATAAGCATGTTTTCTCAGCATGCTAAGTTGTGTATCAATCAAAGTCATGCTGTGAAAAAGGTACATCCGATATCAAAGGCACCGACAGTTACTGTCGCTTCTCCTTGATCGTTATTCTCGGATAATATGTCATAATAATGATAAACTAATAAACTAACAACAAAAATCATAAATATATTAACATGTACAAAATCGAAACAACTAATATTACGACTAGGGAATTTAAGTCACAGCAAGTTTAACACCCTCACAAAATTAGAAAAGCTTCAATTAAAAAATTCTAAACTATCAGCACAAGCATTAGCGCTTCATGAAACTCTAGGCATGAATGAATTGAGGCCAGTATTAGTTCTCATGTAGGGCTGATGAAAACTGTTCATTGATATTGTGCTTCTAGTTGGGACTGCCAACATGCTTGAAGCCTATGTAGGGCAGTCAACCATTTAATTAATAAGCTTAAAAAATAATTTCAGATCTGCCTGATCTCTTCTTATTCTCAAAGTTGGTAAGGAGAATGTCTCTTGCAGTGCCATAAAATCATAGGAATAGTCATCTATCTGTGAAATATTTGATTTAAATGCTAAGTAGCGAAGAAATTTTCTCTGAACCTGTTCTTATCTATGAATGTGACAAGTATACTGGGGGTTCCAGACTGAAGAGCAATATTCTAGCAGAGGCCTAACAACACTACAGTAACTACAATAACCTGATAGCATTAATATTTGTAAAGTCTGATGTGTTTCTAATTTATAAACCCAAGCATACCAACTGCTCTGGATACTATTGTGTCAATGGATTGACAAATGAGAATGTGGAGTCCATAATAACACCCAGATCTAGAATGGATGCAACTTGGGACACTGGTATACCCTTAATATTATATTGAAAATCAATCCTGTTGATCTTCCTAGTAAAGGATATCGAATGACACTTAGTGATGTTAAGGTCCATAGCATTATTCGCACATCACTCATCAAACCTAACCAGATCAGACTGACGTTTAAGACAGTCCTCAAGAGATGAAACTGATAGGTAGCACTTTAGATCATCAGCAAAGCATAAAAATTTGGCAAACTTCAAACATTCTGAGATATCATTTGACTTATTGTTTAATACAACTATACAAGAAATTTTAAAACAATATAGCTTTATTGAAAGTCCTATTTACTTATTTATTTATTAGCTATCTAGTCACATACTTCCTGAAAAGTTTTAGTGGTGGGGCTGACCCGACATATAAGTCTACCATAATAATTTCAATGTGGGGACAGGCCCAACAGAAGATGGCTTGATTGTTGCAATATATAAACAAATAGCATTTTAAAGGTCATATTTAAATGATAAATTATCCTTGTTATGCACCATCAATAATTTAAAAAAAAATTGTACCTATCCCTCTAATGATAATTATATACCCTTGTTTATATTCCTTAATAAAATTATTCCTTTCCTTTTGGTATTGTCAAACAATTATTTATTCATTTTTTCTGTAGTTCATATTATTTAGTTTTATAGAACATTTTAAAAGGTCAATCCATTTGATGGAGTCTTTAATACAAAGTTATTTACATAATATTTTGAACTTTTAGATAATTTTACTTTTCGTCAAAAAATGAAAAAATCGAGGAAAAAATAATACCTAACTAATTAAATATAATATGGCATGTAGGTACCTAAAATTTCGAGAGCAACTTCTTTTTCATAAAATAATAAAATAGTTTTCCAAAGGTAGTGAATTTTAGTAGGCATATAAGTATTAAATATATAATTAATGATCTTTCAATGTCTTTTCCACTTTGTAATGTAAAAAAATCAAAGGATATTGAAAAAAAAAGATACAGCATTTATTGTATATTTTATCCCACAATATTTAAAAAATGATAATACTTAAAATAATTATAATTCACAAATAAAAATGTAAACAAAGAAAATTCACTAGAAATATTTTGAATGGATATTACTTAATTCAAAATTAAACTGTTTCTCTTATATTTTTTGATTTGTTGTTATGAACTTTATCATTTTGTGTCTATATTTACTTTACTATGTAAATATTTCATACATACTTTTCCGAGTTATTGAACCTCTATTGGAAAATGTATGGACATATAAATAATGCAATTTGGATAAGTTTGAAACATTTTTCTATGACATTATAATAGGATAGGATAAACAAATAAATGTAGGCAATTTTTAATGACCAACTTAACTTTATATCTACAGACTAGTAACTTACTGATCCCAATTTTCGTCCCACTTAGCAAAAGGAGATGGAGTGTAATTCGTTGTCCATGAATTATGTACTTTGTGCGAGTTATTCATGTAATAAAATGTGGCTACACCAGAAACGGCAGTTAAACCTAGTAAAAGTCTTTTGGTTTTGCTTAGAGACATCTGAAAAATTCAATATTAAATTTTTATTTTACAATCCTGAAAATGTATACCTTAGTCGTATTTAATATACGTGGTTGCACAAATTTTATATTTTCAATAAATACAGCAATTTTAAATTATATCTGTAATTTTCGTTCACATCTGTTTGTAAATAAATCATAACCTAACATTCTTTTTAATCTTCCTCCTTTTTTATTTTGGCCTCCACCTTTTGAGTATTTAGGTACTTAGTTATAAACAGAACTCATCAGGGTCCGTATTTATAAACCAAGTCGTCCTTGAACTAAAATCGAAGTTCGGTTACAACGTCTCTAAAGTTACAGGTGGTTCCGGTGTTAAACTGAAATTTAGATATGGATATTAGCAAATCTGTTACTGTTATGTGCATTTACGGATTTCTTACTACCCATCTCTAAATTCACCCGATATAACCGAACTTCTATTTTAGTTCAAGGACGACTTACCCAAGTCCATAGATTACTTGAACCCAAGTCCGACTCAGCCACTGAACTATTGCCGCGTTTGAGAATCCACATCTGGGGGGCTATTTTCAAACTCGAGAGAATTCATTTCTCTCAAGAGAAATGTCATACGTCAACGTAAAACCGTATTTTTAGGGCTCTTAGGGCCAGTGTGAACTCACTGACTGTTTCTCTCGGTTTATTTAGAGAGAATTAAAATCTTCCTAAGAATTTTAATTCTCGATGCCTTTAAAAACAACATTTCCACATTGACGTATGACATTTCTGATGAGAATCTTGAGAGAAATGAGTACTCACACAGTTTGAAAATAGGTCCCCAGGGGGGCTATTTTCAAAGTATGGGAGCACTCATTTCTCTCAAGATTCTCATCAGAAATGTCATACGTCAATGTGGAAACGCTGTATTTAAAGACATCGAGGATTAAAAAATTCTTAGGAAAATTTTAATTATCTCTAAATAAACCGAGAGAAACAGTCAGTGAGTTCACACTGGCCCTAAGAGCCCTAAAAATACGGTTTTACGTTGACGTATGACATTTCTCTTGATGGAAATGAATTCTCTCGAGTTTGAAAATAGCCCCCCTCGGGGGCTATTTTCAAAGTATAGGAGCACTCATTTCTCTCAAGATTCTCATCAGAAATGTCATACGTCAATGTGGAAACGCTGTTTTTAAAGGCCTCGAGGATTAAAATTCTTATGAGGATATTAATTATCTCTAAATAAACCGTGAGAAACAATCGGTGAGTTCACATTGGCCCTTAGGACCCTAAAAATACTGTTTTACGTTGACGTATGACATTTCTCTCGAGATAAATGAATTCTCTCGACTTTGAAAATAGCCTGTGTGTGTCCACATCGGATGCATTTTTTACCATATACATTAAGGCAGGGACCCGGACCGAAATGAAATTGACGGTTCGGTTCCGGTTCTTATCACATTTAAAAAAATCCGGTCCGGTACGGTTCCGGTTCTCAAAAAAAAAATTCGGTTCGGTTCGGTCCGGTTCTACCAAATTTTTTTCGGTTCGGTTCAGTTATTTCGGTTCGATGGATTTTTTTTATAGTAGGTATGTACAGGGTTATTCATTATAAATTACCCACCCCTTATTATCGTTATTGCATATTGAAAAAAGAAGTTTCAAATAAAAGTTGTGTGGTTATAACTGTTTTTTGTTAAAATTCTATCAAATGTACAGTAGCGTGCAGATTTTCGGGGATACCTTGTATATTTTTACATTATTATAATCCTCTCAACGAGCTGATTTCAACGATGGATCACACTTGATGTCTAATCTGGATAATACACATCTACAGCCACCTGAAAAATCACATTTTTTTTTACTCAAAAGTCAGATGAGATTTCCAATTTCCAAAAATGTGATTTATCATGTGGCTGTAGATCCTTTATTATCCAGATTAGACATCAAGTATGATACATCGTTGAAATCAGCTCATCGAGAGGATTATAAAAATGTAAAAATATACTGGGTATCCCATTTAAAAAAATTATTATTTGTATCCCCTGAAATCTGCACGCTACTGTACATTTGATAGCATTTTAACAAAAAACAGTTATAACCACTCAACTTTTATTTGTGACTGTTTCTATAGGCAATAATAACGATAATAAGGGGTGGGTAATTTATAATGTATAACCCTGTACAATCTGACAGGATAAGATTGACTTGTAAAGGCCAAATGCCCAATAGTATGAACGTATTTAAGGCCTATTAGAACGACAATATATATTATGTAATTATATATTCCGTACAGTTTTATGAAAAAGACACAAGAACCGAAAAAAAAACCGAAAAAATTCATTTTTATTTCGGTTCGGTACGGTCCGGTCCATAAAAAATATTTTTAATATATTATCGGTTCGGTTCGGTTCCGGTCCATCTAAAACATTTCGGTTCCGGTTCGGTTTTCGGTTAATAACGGTTCGGTCCGGGTCCTTGCATTAGGGGTGAGATAACAGAACGTCTGCAACTTTGCAGATTTGCAAATATGGCGGCAACTTTGCAGATCTGCAAATATGGCGGACTTACATGTGCATGTATCAAGTTTTCGTATTCCAAAAAAGTTCTGCAAATTCGCAATATTTATATTGTGGTTTATTATCCCCAACAACACTAAACCCTGCAAATCCATTACTATGTTTAAAAACTCAATAATCTGACACCATGAACTGTATTCAATCAAAAGAAACAGAAGACTTCATGGTTGTAAGATGTTATTCTAACCTTCTCAAGGGTGGATTTGGATTTAGTGTTGTTAGGGGTAATAAATATTGCGAATTTGCAGATATTTTTTGGATACTTGCATCTGTAAGGACCGATTCCACCGTTGTGTTAAACAAAGTTTAAAATGATATTTTTACATTAACAATGTCATTTTAATCTTTGTTTAACACAACGGTGGAATCGGTCCTAAGTCCACCATATTTGCAGATCTGCAAAGTTGCCGCCATATTTGCAGATCTGCAAAGTTGCCGCCATATTTGCAGATCTGCAAAGTTGCAGACGTTCTGTAATCTCACCCTAGGTCTTTTCCTTTGCATTGAAAGTGTAGCACTGAACTACGCCACTTCTGAAAATATCGTTCCATCGATACAATTTGTATAAATGGAACGGTATTTTCAGAAGTGGTGTAGCTCAGTGCTACACTTTCGATGCAAAGGAAAAGACCTATTGCATTCGGTTTGCCACGTTCTTTTAACTCCTTAAACACTTCGAGTCTCGAGCGTTTTTTTTATCAACAAAATCAAGCAGCATATAGCGAGGTGATATTTGACACTTTGGCACCTACATATGCGTATCGAAATGCACTAAAAAGGATCATCACACACTTTACTTTAGCATAGAACTCGCATTTAGAAAACAGTCAAAAGAGCATATACATTGGCTGCGTTCATCCGCGCCATTTCAAGGAGCGCTACAAAAGTAGCGATCACTTACGCTACCTGATCGATCTTTATGCACGGATGAACCATGTTTAAAAGTGACATTTGATTGTGTTTTATTCATTTTACTTTTGAGTTGAATGTCTCTGGTTGAAGATTTGTTTGTTTATTTTTCAATTACTAATATAACCCTACTAGTCACCAAGCAAACCGTGGACGTAAGTGCGTAGACAGAGCAGTGATCACCGATCAGCGTAAACATAGCGTAAATAAAATGCGCTACTTTTAATGGCGGCCGCTCCTTGAGCGAAATGTCAAAATATACCGTTCATACGTACCACTCGAGAGCGCTACCAGATCGATCAGGTAGCATGTGGCGTGGATGAACGCAGCCATTGCCTATGAACAATGCCACCGAACCGTGGCGCGCACCTGGTATTTCTCCCCCAGAGTCGTCGCATGGATTTACACGGCTATCATAAGATCTATGCTAACACGGTGCAGTTGTCTGGGTACCAAAAACCCAAAAATTAACAGCTATCCGTAACATAACAGGAAAACAACACCGATCAGAGCCATGGAAGTAATTCTTAGTCTCACTCCCCTTGATATTTACATCAAGGAGGTTGCTCTGAAGACAATGACATGCCTCCGCACGGTTGGAATAGAACCTGATGTAGGATCTGGTGAGGCGAGGCGTCACTTTTGGCAGGAGGCGCTCGATACGTTCCCACTGCTTCAAGCGAACATGGACTCCATCTCACCGAGATATATCTTCCATAAACCATATAAAGTTGTAACAGAACAAATAGAAGAGTCGGAAGTGGCAGGTACGATTCATATCTACACGCGACGGTTCTAAACAAAACAAGGCTCAGAATGTGGAATATACTCCAGATCCTTAAACCTTAACATAAAATGGGCTCTGTGAGCAATAGTGCCAGTGTAGTTCAAACAGAGCTCACAGGGATTCTCATAACAGCAGAAGAAATCACCAGAAACAATATCACTGGAAGGAACATGTTCCTCTATACAGATAGCAGACAAGCACTACTCACCCTGAACAGACTACGAATTTACTCAGGGTTAGTACTAGAATGTCACGAAGCTTTGGCCGAAGTATCCATCAACAATCTTAAGATGGATCAAAGGTCACGCCACATCGAAAGGTAACCGTCATGCTGATTCACTAACCAAAAAAGCAACCAACCAAATACTTTTTGGAGCTGGCCCTTCTATTGGCCTGACAAAATCGGTAGTGACAGACCTAATCGAAGAACATTCCCTTGTGAAATTCAAGGAAAGATGGGATGAAACAAGAAACTGCAGAGTTGCCAGGGAGCTCTTAAGTTATCCTGACAACACTGCAGCAAACAAATACTTGATTATGACAGAATCTGCGAATAGTGACAGGCATTCTGACTGGTCATTGCCAAGTACGGAATCATCTCCATATCATGAGGCTGTCAGAATCCGCACTCTGCAGAGGGTTCAAACATGAAGATGAGACTATCGAGCATATCCTATAAGATTGCTCGACGCTCTCATTTATTAGGAGATTTGTGTTCGGCGAGTATCGGTTAACACCGGCCGATATAAGAGAAGCACCTCTTGGCGACGTTTTCAACTACATTAAATCTGTACCTGTAGGCTGGTTCACGAGCTAGGAGGTGCCTATCGTCTTAGGAGGATGCACAATGGGCCTCGTGAGGCCTAGGTTCCGAGGGGGTAACCCACCCTCCACACCTTACAGATATAGTTGGGCGGGCTTAAGGGATAAAGGGGCCAAATATTTTTACA